AACTCTAACAGCCTTGCGGTAATAATATAATAATTACTGTATGTAGATTTTGAGCGTTAAAGAAGAGTAAACTGCAATTCGAACACCCGGGACATGCACTGCTGTCTATGCAGACGCCCAGACAATTAGGTCATTGAGGCTTTCTTGCGAATTCAAATCCTATTAAAGCCATTAAAGATTCACACTCTTGCGCATGTGTAGGCAGCACTAGCCCTGTAAGCGTGACAAAACAGAGATAAATATGATATAAGAAGGGGGCGTATATGCATTTGTTTTTGTTTTTTTTTTGTTTTTTTTTTTGTTTTTTTTTTTGTTTAAGTATCTATTCGAAGATCCTGTCTTGTTGACAAGTGATCTTATAGAATAATTATATAGGAAGACTTGTATGATATTAGAATGATGCAACACATCCACCAACAATTCGAACGTTAATGATGATACTGTTATATCATGACTTTAGTCCTTAAAACGGTAAAGCAGAAGTCACGCAAACCAATTTACTGAAACTGCTCCCTTCCCATTTGCTGATTTGTCGTCGTTTGCTGATTTGTCGTGTTTGTATTTTCTTTTTATTGGAATTTGATTAGGCCTATATCGTCTGCTTGTTGGTACAGTATAGCCTACGGTGTTTTTCTTTCTTTACCGTCTTTATTATGCTCTTTTATACCATGAACAAATGAATGGCATATGGCAAAATCAACTACCTTCATCCTAGTCCATACAATAAAGCTACACAATCACACCCACACTTAGATGCACAGACACAACCCGCTAATCTTCAAAACATATTGACATGCGCACACATAATATTTTTGTCATACACGAGTTACACACAATTATAGAGAACACGATCGAAATTTCAGTCAGGTAATCAATTTTATTAATAAATAACATTTGGTATATACATCGATTTAAATAAATAATTTACCATAAATACATTACTAGTTGCGAATACCAACTAAACACACTTAGGTCCACATTACAATTAAACGTTCCACATTTAAGTTTAAAGAGAGGAAACATAGGTTAAACTTAACTCCTCTTCGATTTAGGCGAATAACATTTTTGTACTTAAAGCATTCAAGTTATCAAGAAGAGTTATTATTCAAACAGAAGCTACACAAATGGGTAAATAGTTATAGATTTGTTATCGTGTACGTTTAAAACGTAATACACGGTCCACACGTTAGACCATGGAGTTCCCCCATGGTTTGACGAATGCTGTTACAAGTTTAATTTATGCGTAAGATTGGTGATACAGTACATATTTGAAATTAAATATTGTTACTAGCTCGAGCATACGATTCAAAATAATCTGCATCACAGCACTAAGTATTTTGAAATTGTACTAATTTGTACTCGTTATACACATTTGCTTTTTACATGTGTCAACTTTTCATTGTATTAACGAAAATAATCTCTTAGCATTGTGCAGTATTTATTATGTCTACAAAAAATGGTTCTTGGAACCGACTAAACAACCTATGTAACCATAGTTAACACGCCAATGATATTACAATGCAAGATGTATTGTCTGGCATTAAAACATTAACTTAGGCATAAGCAAATTGACCAAAAAATTCTTCATTAAATAATGAAATATTATCAATGACATCGCAAAGTGACTCGTTAGTGCGTTGCGCGTGATGATGGGCGTAGTGCTAGGCGCACTGACAATTTATGCTACGTTCACACTAGTGTGAAGTAGGGCTAAGGCAGGTTTCATGTTAGAGCAGTTCAGATACACGTTGATGCAGACACAAGCAAAGTTAGCTAGAGTAGCAGTTGGTTGTGTTTGCTTCAACTCTTTAGCTAGAGTGTGAACGAAGCTTTATAACTTTGTGATAAAGCAGGCTTATGGCCAATTTGTTAATTATATTTGATTTATTATAGTTAGACGTGAACGAGTGCTGCGGATCTATAAGGTTCACATAATTAAATCAAAGTTAACTGGTTTTTTAACTTTAAAACAATGCGATAACAGAAATATGCATACACAGGTCTTCAGTATTCGTGTTAACATAATGTTTTGCATAAAGAGCTGTTTGGTTCACATTTTTTGGAGAACTAAATGTCAACATAATACCGTCTCGATATTTTGGTTTCGTGTGAAACTGACGCTGAATAAAAACGGAAGCCTGCAAAAGTCAACAATTCTGTGTTGTCTGCTAAAAAGAGGATCACTTGGCTACGTTAAAGCGCGGGGTTTCATCAGCTGCAGCAGTTGAAGGACGGTCTGGACTGGGTTCCCTTGACATGATACCATAGCCATCAAACTTTTGAGTACACTTGCGGATCGTGGTTCTTTTGATAGTGAATAAACCCTCGCACTCAATTTTAAGTTCGGTGGCTGAAGGGAATCTAGTTTCGTCGATAGACCTTACAGTACTGTAAGGATACCCGTCGATTCCTTCTATCTCCTGCACACTGATTTCCTAGTGTTCGATTTACTATAACGCTCATGTGTTCGCCAGCATCTAAGTCCTTCCTTACAAATCATAGGGCATCGTGTAAAAGACCTTGTCAAGTCGTGTAAATCCAAATATTTGTGTATGTCTACAAAAGAACAGGTTTCTCCCAAATTCCGTACACGTTGCGAAGCTTTACACACCTTCCGGCCGAAGTCAAATGCACAACACTGGTCTCTACGACAATCTGCATTCGATGAACACGAACGACTACTACTCTGAAAAACAAAAACAAAAAAGCTTAATATATACAATAATTAATGCACAAAAGTAAATTATTAGACCAGCTATATAGGTGTTGTGTAATAATGCATACAGGCAAAACATAAATATTTTCTATAGGTACCGTAAGCCAGCTGGGTTAATTAATTACAATTAATACCGGTATTAAATAGCAATTAACATTACCATTGTTAAAACCGTAGTGTTTCACCTATGTGTTATTTAAGACTTCACATAAAAACAAATTTGCCGTTGGTAAACCAATAGTCCTAATATTGTTTCAAGTGACTTTAAGACTGGCTATAAATCAAGACACCATTGTATATTTCGATTTGAAGTGCAATAAAAAAAATCAGTACTGAAAAAAATAAATACTTACGACTTTCATTGCTCGTTTACCCCTCTGGAATGTGTCGTGCGTTGTGATTTCACCAAAAAGTTGTGTGTATTCCTCTCCATCTCCGCCACCATTTACTTCAATTGGAATGCTGCTTACTAACTGTAATACAAAAGTCATTACAGATATGAAAACGGCGGTCGTCGCAATAAACGATGCCATTATAGGCCTAATTACTATTATTTCTTCAAAGAGATAACCAGTTGGTAAAATATTCTGCGTGTGAATTCTACTCGTTCGTCAAGCTATCAAGTCTAATCTGACTGGTCTGGTAAGCAACCGCCTTTTATATACTTATCTGTCGAGAAAACCGCGGAAGAATATTAGTGGAACGATCATGTAATTGGAGAAATCCGCGCGAGGATGTGATAGGTCTAGTTCCTGTTTACTGTATGTGTTAGTGCTTCAAAATAACTCTTCATAATTAGCAGTGCTGTGCTACTGATTTTACCCGAGTTGACCTAACTTTATTAATTCGAAAGTTGTGTTGGATAACGTTGCCAGAATCTGTGGGCCCGTGCACGGTATGTCCCAGTGGCGGAATTGTGACAAATAACTTAAAAACCGCAGTTAGAATAAGGGAATTATCCAGTAAGCAAATTGTCTGACCTACATTGACAAGTTATTTTTAAATAAATATAATTGTTGGCTTATTTGTGATATAAATAGATTTCTATTGTGTTCATGCCAAAAGGAATTAATTAATTTTTTTTAGTACAGATTAATTAATATTTTTTCAATCCCATTTTTTGGTGAAGTGTATTATAAATATACCGTAATTAAAAGTAATAATGCCGTTTGTGTTTTTATAGGCATATTCAGCAAAGTTTGGTTCATAATAAACTGTACTTACAACAATGTTGACCAAATCTTAACTTAAGTATATTAAAGCTCGTCGATGGTAAAACAATGAATAACAAATAAAAAATACTTAAACAAATCCGAAAAGTAAAGCGAAACTTCACGATAATTAATTTCTATAATAATAGTAATTATAATAATCAATAATATAATATAATAGTGCCTATATGCTTTAGAATATATTTGTATAGCCTTTATATATGTAACTATATCACAATTGTGGAAATATATGTCCTTTCTGTATCGTACATCATATCCCTGTATTCTATGTATATAGCCGGTTTTTAGCGTTTTGAATACAATATACTGTGTATATGCCTATGATAAGATGTATGTGACATTTCACTTTTACATTAGTTGCAGCACAAAATAAATTGGCGCAGTCAACCAACGAATATAAAGAAGAATATACATGTATAGAATATATAAGGCTTATATAAGGAAAGGTAATATGTTTAATATATTAATATATATATATATTGCTATACATCTTAGACATTATATACGATAGCATTATATATATTTATATACATATTATATATATCTATAGTATATATGTTTATAGTGTAATTTATATTATGTGTATATAAATGCATATATTAATATATACGGTATATTATATAATAGGCCTATCTAAGATATATAAGATTATGTAGGCCTATATATATATTTACGATGGAATATTGTATATATAAACAGGTATAAACTTATATAAAATACTTAATAATCTTATATTATTAATATATTACTTATATAGGCCTAAATGTATATTCCGCTCGAACGAGAAAAACAATTAAAAAAAATCCGGCATAAAATTATTTGAACGTAATTTTAAGGCAACGTCTTCCACTAAAAGCAACGTAATAAAACTCATTCACATTGTTTTTGGATCGAATTATAAATACAATAGCTATAACCTATTTGCATGGCAATTATTTCCTCCTTCCCGCAATGATATCCACATACATGGCATAACGCTTGTCTGTCTCTTAACGAGTATTACGTATGTCAAAAGCAAAATCAGTCCATTTTTATCTGAAAGATTGTTTTAACTTTATCGAAAAGAGGCATAATTCGTCATTAATGCAAAACATTTCGAGCTTTGTTTTTACTTTTATCGTAAGATCCATGCGTTTGTGTTGTCCGTTGAACCTGGTGAGCTGGGTTCCTGACACTGAACTTAATGTTTTCATTAATTATGATAACTTAACGTCTCCGCTTTTTACTTTTGTACAATTAATATAGTTTATATTAGGTGGCTGTATTATGATGTCCCCGTGTTCTAAGATTGACTGTTTTTAACAACAGCAAGATACCTGTTTAAAATATGGATAAGATCATTCTAGTGCGCCGTTATCGATGTAGTTATCAATCAGATTAATGTAAAAGAAATAAAACTTGGACGTTTACGGCGCACGTTATCGAGCGCACACAGGCACGTGCTCTATGTTGTCCAATCACGGATGAAGCTCATTTAGCCTATAATAATAAAAATAATAAGCAAATAATAAAATTTAAATTGGAATTTTGTTTTATAAATATGTCAGATACACATTTTAAGATAAACTTGGGTTGGATAATGTCATTGCAGTGGTTCAAATCTTATCTTTCAAATAGAAAACAGTTTACGGTTGTTGAAGAGGCCAGATCTGAGATTTTTAACGTAAATTATGGTGTCCCTCAAAGGTCCATACTCGGCCCTATTCTTTTTACGATTTTTGCTAACGATTTTTCAAATTGTGTGTTGTCCTGTAGTGTTAACATGTTTGCGGACGATACCGCAATATTTTATTAGTTAATTATTTAGTGAAATGTTAAATATTGATCTTGCTAACGTAAATAACTGGCTTAAGCAAAATAAAATCACCTTAAATACGTAGGAATGTGAAGTAATGCTAATTGGGTAGTTAACATTAAAATTGGAAGTGAGCACATTAAACAAGTCGAATCATGCAAATATTTAGGGATTATAATTGACAGACATGGGAAAAACAAATTGATTTAGTTTGCTCTAAAATTTCTAAGGGTATTGGTGCCTTAAAAGAGTTAAATGTTTTGTCCCTAATGATTGTTTAATTACCTTATATAATTCCATCATCTTGTCTCATTTTGAGTATTGTTGCGAAATTTGGGGCAACTGTAGTGATACTTTGGCTGCAAAACGTCGAAGATTTCAAAATAGGGCGGGACGTGTTATCCTCGGTAGCAAATGGGATGAACCAGCTGCAACAGTGTTAGACAGTCTGAGCTGGCAAAGTCTGTATCTCGGTAGATCCAGAAAAGTGTCAATTTTTATGTATAAATCTGTCAAACTACTACTATCTTTTTAAATTTGAAAAACAAAGTGCTTACAGTTTGCGACATTTTGATTGCCTTAAACTCTATATTCCTAAACCTAACAGTAATTTCAAGAAACGTAGCATAGTGTATATGGGTTCGCATCAATGGAATTGTGTCCCATTTGAGATTAGATATTCGCCTTCTCTTTCGATTTTTAAATACAAATTGTAATGTTATTCATATATTTAATTATTATTCTATTATTATTATTATACTTATTTAATTCTATTATACATTATATTATATTTGTCTTTTGGGTATACACGACCATTTGTAAAACAACCTTTTTGTTGAAATGATATCGTGTCTAAATAAAATAAAATAAATGAATGAATGCATGAAGTACCGCTAAATTTAAAGTGCGTTTTGTTGAAGCCGTTTTGACGTATTACGTTGCTGGTATGCTATAATCCTAAGATACAACACATAAGCCTACTTTACATCGAATTAGAGTATGGAATCAACCTAGGTCCGTGTACGGTACATGTTCAATACAAATTTAAAATAATTATATTAGGGCCTATTGAGCGTAGGTTCATCCTAATTGAAATTGGATTAAGTTCAAGACTGGGTTCATTTAGGTTAGTTAGAGAAATTGCAGTAACATTACCATTGTCATGTATCATAATTAATATGATATTTTGTTAATTAGGCCTAAGGAGATCATTACTGTCATCAATTACTCTTACCGCCTTTAGAACGCCAATCGCCATAATTAGGCATGCTCTGATGAAAATTCGAACTTAGGCCTGATAGAGGGAGAAGCAGCTTTATTACCGTACCCAGGCAGAGTTCTAGTAAATGAATTTAAATAAGAAAAATTAACGCTATTATGTTCGTATTGTTGGTGGTCGTGATTTAAGGATTGTTGAGGACAATTCGCGTACCTTTGCGGAAACAAGATAATTACTAAACTCAAGCAATTCTTCAGACCAGTTCGCGTGATGTCAATTTAAGAAGTGTATACGCAAATGAAGAAAATTAACAATTATTTAGATACGTAACACTAATTTTCCATTACGATTACAAAAAATAGTGATGCTATTTTATTAAAGGACGGGATCTCCTAAAAGACACCTATAATGAGACACCATATGCTTACCAACTGAATTATGAGCCCTCTATAACTAGCAAAGTTTTCCTACGCATTACATTATAAACACATTCCTATAAAGATACAATTTCCGACACATAGGCCCTACATCAATATAAAATTAAATGTTGATGACAAATGAATATTTCATAAATCTACTAACTACGTCTATGCTAAATATTGGTTTAATCTTAATGTTCATGATGAGAACAATATATATGAAAAAAAAAACAATGCTAATATGTTTGATTATAGTGATTTTTCGATTATCAAATACAGCCTATAGTCACTGAGTCTCATGCCATTACAAATTTGAAGAATAGTTATTTTTGGAAAGTTCTATTATATTACTTTGCATCTTTAATTTGCAACCTATAACAAGACAAAGGGTAGTTAAAAATATATTGCCCTAGAGATTTGTAAATGCAGACGACTTATAAATGGATCGTTAGAGAAAGGTAATGCCGCGAGGTGCATAAAATAATAATTGACATACACATCATATTATTCATAATGCGTATTCCATTTCCAATATTATCCTAGAAATGAAATTGTCTGTTTTTTATACGGTACAGGACAATTAATTTATAAAAGTTTAAGTCGTGAGAGGGCGCACATCAAAACATGTGTGCACCAGTGTAGGAGAAAAATGTTCTCACCATCTAAAAACGGTTCTGCTATTAGAAAATGCATTTGTAATGCCAGATATTTAAGCAAAAGATACAATTTCTTAAGCAAATTAAGGTGAAGATATGTCTGATTGTTTATAGCTTTCTTGTTATGCAATTTTTTTCTTAGGCATGATTGACGTGGTGCTGGCGCTAGGCCTAGTAGTAGGCCTACTTATATCAGGTCAGTGGGGCAGGAGTCGGTGGTGGTTACCGGCTAGGCCTAGCTGTGCATTCTTCCCTGTACTACTAGGCCTAGGGCCTACCTGCTACTGCCACTGCAAGGTGGCTAAATTTGCTGAGTATAAACAAGGCCTAAAATCAACAGGACCATCTTGGTGTTATACCTAACCATTTTGTCACTATGTAGCTTTAGTAGGCCATGCTGTATAATTTGTGCTCCATATTATTATTATTATTATTATTATTAATTAAGCATTTCTTCATGAGATGAGAATATAAGAATGGTTGTATAAACTAATTCCTCCATGGTTGTACAGTAGGCCTATTTTTTAGTATTATATTAATGCTACTCTTTTATTCTAGGCAATCTCACAGGTGTAATGTGCAAGCTAGGCACTGTGCCTCAGTGTCTGCATTACAGAGGGTTGAGTCATACAAGCCTGGAGAATGTATACATGGCTTTACTGTTGAAAAAGTAAGAAACCCATAATGAGCACTTTTTATAGATTATAGACAATCATCTAGTCATACAACAATGTAATTTTTATCCATACATTATCATCCTCCTCACTGACATCATTCTCACCACCTGATCATATAAACCACATCATCATCATTCTTGTCATCATCAACTGCTTCATCGTCATTGTATGCAAGCTTAATCTCGTCATCCTCATTATTATTAACCACATCATGATCATCATCCGCCTTATCCTCATCATTGTCATCAGGGATGGGTTGGCCTATCTTTTAAACGGTCACAAATTTTTGTGCCTTTGCAGTGCAATGTTTTTAGGAGGAAAAAATGATAATTGAGAAAACTAACACTGAACAAAAAACAATAAACTGCAAATGGTACGAATAGTCTCTAATAGTCCATATAGACAAAATGTGAGTGTTCCTGTGGCCCCCAGCTCCCCTCCTTTAGTTACTGGATTGGGAATCACCCCTGATCGACCTTGTCTTCACCCTCATTGTCATAATTAATGCATCTTATTCATTTACCATCATCAGCCATTTAATCATATTGTCATTATTTTTGTCACATAATAATACATTTATTTTGTCTAATACATTTCACAGATTGTTAATGTTCCTGAACTTTATTTATCAGCTGTGAAATTATCCCATGATGCAACAGGTGCCCAGTATCTACATGTGGCTCGAGAAGATTCTAATAATGTCTTCAGGTACAGTATGTTGTATATCTTCTCAAAAAGATCCATTGTTAACTATAGATACTAATATTCTTTTTTGTTTATACATTAGCTATGGTAAATAGTACATAATTTGAATGCATTTCAATAAAATGATAATATATGTATTATTTATATTGATTAGTGATAGCGCAATGACAGCATAGTATCAAGGACACTGTTTAATTAAATAATTAAATACTTCTTGAAAGTAAGATCTCTCTCATGGTCGTACCTGGCAATGTTATGTCAACTGATGCAAATCAGTCAATGACGGCCATATGTTTTCAATGAAAGAAAATGGCTGGGAAGACAAGTAAGTAAGCATTAATAATAATTAAATATATTATAGATATTTTGACCTATTCAGAGTCTGAACCCACTACCTCAGGAGAATGAGTGGAGTTGAAATACTAGCCTGGCTTTAGGTACTCAAGGAAGTACTGTATACAAAAAAGTTCATATAGAGTGGAGTTGAATAGCTTGGTGGTTAAGATGTTTGCCTTTCAATTCCTGTCAGTGTTGTAGGATCTCATATTGAGATTTAGTTTTTGGTTTTGTAATCCGTATGTTTTGTCTTGTGAAAGGGATTGTCATCTACAAGTAGGACAGTGATATATTCGCTGTTGACAATCAATTTTTTTTCGTGTCCAAAACAACTCCACTCCCTAAACCTCATTGAGATTTAGTTTTTGGTTTTGTATCCGTATGATTGTGTTATTGATTTTCAGTGTTGCTTTTCGTACCACACCGATGGACAGTACTGGTGTGTCGCACATCTTGGAGCATTCAGCACTATGTGGGTCTCAGAAATACCCATGCAGAGATCCATTTTTCAAAATGTTGAATCGTTCCTTATCCACTTTTATGAATGCTTTCACAGGTAATAACTTGATTGAGGTAATAACTTGATTGATTGATGTATTTGTACATTAACACTGTATTAGTCTCCCTTTGATTGATTTTTCATCAGATTATTTTCCCCCCCCCCCAGTCATTTATTTGTTCAATCATATATAAAATTTAGGATTAATCATTATTTCATGAATTCTCTCATTCATAAATATTTAATTTGGTTTATGATACTATGAGCAGCATACAGTCATCACAAAACTATAACAAATACAAGTAGAGTGGATTTAAATAGCTTAGTGGTCAAGATGCTTGCCTTCCAATCCATGTGACAACAGGACTTTTTCTCACAGCTAAATACAACTCCACTCACTAAGCCTCATAAAGAGACTCACTTATAGAAACAGCACATTATTTCATTCGTTTAAGAGAGCCCCTAAATATCAGCCGACCTTCTAGGATACGCTCAAAGGAACACCCTCTATAAAATACGGTTCAAAAAAAGAAAGGTCTGTTATTATCAGGAGTGGAATTAATCACTAAACCCTTTTCCTTACAGAAAAACTTTTCTTTTTCTTCATCTTTTTTGTACCAACCACAGATAAAACACTAATAAAATGTAATTATCCCTTAATTCTCTTATTTCATCCATTTATTCTTTCAATAATAATAACTTCCCATCATCTGTATTTGTTTCAGGCAGCGACTACACAGTGTACCCATTTTCAACACAGAATTCAACAGATTTCTCTAATTTAATGTCAGTCTATCTTGATGCAACTTTCTTTCCGAAATTACAAGAACAAGATTTCCGGTAAAGAGAAGCACAGAAATTCAAATGCATATTTTCGAGCTTAAGTTACAGTAGTGTTGCATTTGAACAAATCCTGACAAATTTAATTAAAACATTGAAGTGCTCATGTAAAAGTATTACTTCAAATGTGAAGAAATTCAGTTTTCAGTTGGTATTGAAAATCATCAAAAATATTTTGTTGTTCAAATACATTATTAAAACTTCAGTGATCAGACCAAATAGGTTTACAATGAATAGCTAATTTAAGGGTCTATTTATGTATCTATAGGGGATTGTCTGTCAGTGTACTACCCCCACTGAAAATAGGTATTCTTTGCACTTTCTTGGGTTATCCTTGGTGAAAAACCAATCCAACCTTTTTAATTGAGAAAAAAAAAATAAGCAATTAAAATATTAAATTTCATTTGTAGAGTTTTTGGTTTTAGCATATCACAGATAGTTTAATTACCAGGTAATTTAATGGTATATATGCAAATTGAAAAGAATATTTTTCCTCATTGTTTTAAGTGCAGTGAATATGAATGAATAAATATTGATATTGATGTTTGTTGTTGAAAGGCAGGAGGGATGGAGGCTGGAAAATGAGGACAACCAAGATCCAACCTCACCAATCATTTTCAAAGGTGTTGTCTATAATGAAATGAAAGGAGCCATGGTGAGCATATTTTTAGTATCGCTATAATACCCCTTCACGCTGACCTAGTTAGCACTACGTTCTGGAGAACGGGGACGAACTGAATATGAACGGAATGGACATAGTAGACACCGAATACAATCTTAGTATGAATGGGCAAGGACAGAAATGGTCCAGAACGTCGACCATGTTTAAAATTCAATCCCATTCTACCCTTTCAAATATAGGACCGGGTAAGGTCGTATTTCAAGTGAGCTTGCCTTACTGCGAACATGGAGCGAACGGGGGAAATAGGAGTACGATCCAACACCGATGTTGTTAGGTTCCACCCCGTCCTGCCTATTCTCAGACAGAAAAATGAGAACGGGCTAGAGAGGTTTTGTATTATAGCAGATCGGGCTGTAACATGATCCAGATCTCCGTTCTGAATGTGTTAAAGACTGCCTGAGAACCCAGTGCAAACGGGCAAGACTGAGCAGGAACTGTTTTGAACGGACATGTCGTAGGGGTTAAATGGGTTGAGGACAGGTTGGAACTTAAGAAAGAAGTGCCAACGACATTGAACGTAATGTCTTCCTGTTCTAAACGTTGTTCGAACGTTGTACAGACCGTCTGTAATCGTAATGCACTTTCTTCAAACTGTGTTGTGTCGTAGTAAAAGCCAAAATTGCACGTTTCAACCTGTCCTCATCCTGTGTCATGAAATTTTCAGGACGGGCAAGAACGTTCTTCGAACTAGTACAGTGTGAAGGGGCCATAACTGATGGTATAAAAGTGTATGAATGATATCCTGGCAATTTATCAGCTGTAAAGATCATAACTGTGATTATCATCTCAAACCCTAGGCTAGCGCTGATTCCTTGTTTGCAACACATTGTCAGAACAAATTGTTCCCGAGCCATACATATTCTCACAACAGTGGTGGTGACCCCAGCTGTATACCTGACCTCACCTGGCAGCAGCTCAAACAGTTTCATGCATCTCATTATCACCCTAGCAATGCAAGGTGAGTTTCTGATTCCAGTTTGGTTTATTTGTTAATATAATTGTGCTTCCTAAAGTAAATAAATTACTTTATATACCTGTATAAGAACCTTTATAGAGTAATTTTTTTAAATTTATTCTTGAAAATAACGGTTGAATTGACATTGTGTTGTGACTCATTGAGTATCTGTTACTGTTGGTTACATACAGTAGGAGTGATTCTCAATGCCAAGTTAAGCCAATTAAATCTAACAGATAGCGTGATATTTAAAATGTGTGAACTTGAACCTTCTCTGTGTCCATATTGTTATTCCTGTGGAGGGGAGGTAAGTAATAAAAATACACATTATCTGTGTAAATTCAGAGGTGACTTCATTGGCTATAGTGCTGTAAATCTGCAGGGTCAACAAGCCCCCGTCCTAACTTTCTTTTTGTGACTATAAACAACTCTGCTTCCTGAGACGCTGATAAAGAATTTTTCTATCATGTAATTAGCTGTTAGATGTGAATGATATTTTAAGTACTGTAAGCTTAAGTGCTGTGCACCAACACCTAAATTTACTTAATCGAAGTTGAGAATTTTGCACTTTAACAGAGAGCAGCTTAGCTCAGTCGGCTAATCTGGTGGTAGCCACTGTGCGTGCGTTGAACCGTGGAGATCTCTAGGTCCCCGGTTCAATTCCCATCACTGTCTCTCCTAGTGTTTCAGCTGGAGGGCTGACATACAAGTTAAAATAACGCACAGTCTTTCGGATGAGATGTTTAAGCCGTTATTCCCGTGTACATTTATGGCCCATGTGCATGTTAAACATCGCAGTACACTCTCCGGAAAAGAGTAAGGGATTGTCTCCCGGTGTATTGCCCAATTACCACTAGAAGGACCCCACTGGAAATGAGCATTTTGCACATTAAAATTTAAACTTTATTGACTTTGATATTACTATGTCAATATGAAATCATATGCAACAATTAATGTTTTCTTGTTAATGTTTCCAAACACAAGGATAGTGATATTACGCACGGCTTTACAAAACAATTGAAGTAATAGCTAGCCTAGCATGAAAATGCTATTTCCTTTAGGGCACATGTCATTATTCATAATATCCTTGATGATTATTATGAATGACATCAATCATAGTTTTTTTATTACACATAAAATATAGAAAAAAAAATGGAAAAAACAAATCTTTACTTGAAAGGCTACTGTATATAAATTATGCTGTCTTATAAGTGAAATCTAAAGTGTTTCACTGAGTAGTAGAAACAGACAGCATCTAAAGACCAGTTTTAAAATGTATAGTCTCTTTCTCAAAGGGGAAAAGCTACAAGGATTATTTTTACTCAGTTATTCTTGATGGTGTTAGCAAATTTTTATTTACCATGATAACGCAAGACTTTTTTTATACCTTGTTTAAGAAACCCTCTGACCACTGAAAAGTGGAGATTTTGAATTAAAAATAGCCCACGCCACACAAGGCTTGGAAATTTCAGACATTTTTTAAATTTATTTTTATTACGTCCTCTGTTCCCCTGAAATCCCTAATATTTCTTCCTTAATTATATAAATTTAAAGCATTTATTAATCTCATTACTACACTGTTTCATCCATTCATCAATAGCATTTTATTTTTATTTTCTCCTCTGCCAGATGCTTTTGGCAAAATCGATTTGCTATTAATAAGAAAACAAACTTTTATTTTTATTTTTTTTCCGCCCTTCTCTGACTACATTCGCAAAACAAGGGATTAATAAAGTCTGGCCTAATAAGCTTAAATGGAGGAAAGTAGCTATGGTATGGTATGTATGTGATACATGGTTAAATATTTAACTACTTGAGTACAATTTCTTGCTCACCAAATTTCTGGTGGGTGGAAGGGGGAGATGCCCCTGGGCAAAAAAAGAATGAGAGTGGCAAGACAACCATTGCCAACTACGGCACTTTAGTTCATTTGAGCGTTGCCACAGCCGCTAGTTAGATTCCCTCATCTGATCCGACCATATTTTAATTAACTGCAACATGCTCTATTCATAGAAAATATGGTTGACATATATTGCTGTTGAAAGGTATGATATCCAAAAATATGTTGAAAAAAATTAGAATAATATTTACTCAGAGTTTAATAAATAAGAGAGTTTGTGTTTCCTGTAATTTAGTTTTGCTGTTGACTAGGAAGTACATTGAGTAATTGTTGGCGATTAGTTTGTGTTTTATGTAGCTGATAGGGGAAGAGACGGAAATAATTGAAATAAAGGGGTTTGTGAGTAGATAGGGAGGGATGCCAGAATGTCTGGGAAAATTTGGAAAACACATCAAACATACAATTTAACATTTAATTGCTAATTTAAAGAATATTTTAATAAGTTAACGTAGTTGGATTTATATAGCGCTTTATATCGAAGTCTCAAACAGTAACTTTCTTGTCCCTTTGCATCTGAACTACCTGGTAAACCAGTACTGGCTATTCTTGCCTATCCATAACAGGGGCTGTATGAACCAGTACACCAGGATAACCCCTACTCATCTTCTTTACTCATGTGCCTACTGGGCCTACTGTTTATATATTCCTTATCCAAGGAGACTTGTTTCACCGTTCAAACCAGCGCCGATATTATGGCTGTACGTTGCGATGTACCTGCCTTAACCACTTGACCTTTCTAAGTGGCACTCTTCTAAGGAGATAGCTTTAATAAATGATATATATTATGATATATGATTTACAGACTTTTCAGCACAAAAATTCTTAAAATTGATTACCAGCCAATTTAAGATTCTACAGGCTCGTTCTACAGGCTCGTACACACCCCTCAAATTATTCCAAAACCTATGATTTCACAAAATCGTTCCTAATTATCACAAAATGCTTTAGCATGCATTGCATTATATATTCGCCAGCTTATCTAACCGTTGATTTTTAATAATGTGGTATGAAATTTGTAAGAAATTAATCGTCTCCGGTGATTGCAGATTGATCTATATAATATGAACAATGTTATCTATAGGCCTGCAGAAGTATAGGACATAATAACGTTACTTTTTCAGGTCCCAAAAACACCCAAATTAATGAAAATTTAAATGAAATATTTATGAATTATGTTTGAGACAAACCCCCTCCAGGCCTCTGCCCCTGGACCACCAAATTTAAAAAAGTCCACTTTTTAAAACCTATTATTTCACTAAAATCGTTCCTAATTATCGCGAAATGCTATAGTATGCATTACATTTTTTTGCCCGCTCTTCTACCCGTTGAATTTTAATAATGTGCTACGAAATCTGTTGGAAATTATCAGTTCCAGTGATTGTAGGCCTACAGATGTAAAGGACATGAAAAATTATAATTACGCAGTGGTGGATTCAAGGGGGGAAGTTTGCCTGAGTGGGCTATTTCCGGCCACTTTGAGGTGCCATAATCATAAAAGGTCCACTTCGGTTGCAAAACGCACCTCCCCATCGAAAATCCTGCCTATGGGCCTGTTCTATGCATAGAAAAGTAAAAAGGTAACCAACACATGTAATGATTATGTTTAAATAACACAGAACGAATGTTACTCTGAATATAGATACAGAGGCTTCCCTCTCGTTATTTGGAGTATTATTAATTCTCTGTTATGTAAAATAGGAAATCTATAGAGATTATTAATGCTTAAAAAAAAAAGTGATAAGATGAAATAAACAAAAAATGTAAACTGAATTTGTGTATAGGGCTGGGTTCATATAACATGCTTTGTTTTCCCAACATGTTGAAAAATATAATCATGTTTGTTTTTGTACTCACAAACTACTCACAAACCCTTGAATAAAAATCTGTTCTGGGGAACTAACAATGTCATAAGCAATTAATAAAAAGCGATCAGTTTTAAAAAGGTCCTACAGAGTCATGTCTTATTCAAGATAGGTCAACCTGTTTGTCATATGTATAAAAATTCATCAAAATTTCTATTCCCAATTTGCAGTGAACAGCCATCTGAAAGGAAATTAACCATTTGTAACATATTTTTATGTATGTTTTAACTCTCGCTGTAATCGTGTGTTTTTGCTACAAGAACATCACCATTAATTGTGTTCTTGTTTTTAAAGATGTAGACGTGAACTTCCAATAAGAAACAGATCAAAACAATTCAGTATATGCGGACTTACAGACTTTATTATGAAAATCCTTGAATTGATCACCAGTCAAAGGTCTATGCAACAAATATATGAACAGTACATTTATGCATCTGTTCATTTGTGAGATAAACATTTTCTCTTAAAAGCATTTATAAGTCAGTTGTCCCCGAGCAGGCACTACTTCAATAGAGGGCCTGCTATTTTTTTTGCATCTGGTGTGCAAAAACCTCAAAACTGTAGCCGGGTTTTGAATCTGTGAATATTTTGTTGCTATGCCAATCTCTGAACGTACACAGCCAACCTAACAAATCTCGCTCTACGGCACTGGTTAACACAAGTGAAGCCAGACCACCTAGGGAAGGCCTAGAAAGGCATATGTTTATGAGATTTACGCCCGTATTCTTAAAACGAACTTTAGTCGAACTTCGAACTAGAACTTCATTTAGTCTTAGTTGCAACTTCAACTTCAAATTGTATTCACAAACAACGTAGTAGAAGTTCTAACTACGACTAA